ATTTTTAATTTCACATTTTTTTTTATAAATATAATAAATCCTTAGCTATAAAATTGTACATTTTATAAATTGTTAACTAAAAACAATCATTAAATTTTCGATCTTAAAAATGTTGTCGAAATTTGAATTTTAAATGCTTATAAAAAAAATCGTAACAATGTATTTTTAATATTTTTCAACTGCCATTGTACATTTGTATCAGTATATTAAGAGCTTTTTATTAAGTTTTCAAGCTTTTTTACCCAACGAATAATTTTTTATTGACATTTATTGAAAAAAAAAATAAAAAAATTAGAAACTGAATGTCCGTAAATAGCTCAAAACAAGTCAAAATATTTTGAAAATGATTCAGTGAAAATTGCATGTATCATTTCATGTATTTAACGATCGTTTGTTTTAGAGTAACGCCATAAACCAAAATCGATTTTGTCGAAAACCTTTTTTGTGTAAAAATTCCCATTTTTCCTTAAATTTAATCTTGTTTTTCCCGTTGTTTTTGAAAACTACTGGTATTTTTTAAATCTTAAATATTAAATAATTAAGATAACGATTTCATTTGTAATGTTGTAATTTAAAAATATTATTCGTGGGTACATGAAACTTCTCAAGCATATTATTATATAAGGTGATTCTTTTATCATAAAACACTCATTATTTGAAAAAGTGTAAATGTTTTACATAGCTTCAAGTCATTTACAGAACAACGTTATTATTACAAAATTATATTTTTAAATATTTTTTATACCATTATCGTGTATACAGATATAAAAAAACACATCATTGTACAGTCATCGCAAAGCTAAAATAGTTTTCATAAAATAGTTATGCACACACAGTCACATCATGTTTGATTTTAAAATTTAAATAATATATACTAATAATAATTTGTATTAGTTGAAGAACTGAAGAAAAAATGGAAACATTGTAGAGATAACTACGCAAGAGTAGTTAATGAAACTAGAAAAACTGCAAGTGGTTCGGAAGCCAAAAACACAAAAAATTATGCATACTTTGATATACTATCTTTCCTGCAGCCCGTCGTCAAGAAAAGGAAGTATGTATTTATATTGTATATAGGTAGTTTATACATTTTAAGTTTATATCAAATATTAGTTGTATAAAACTACATGTTTATTTACAATAGGTACGAATTTTAATCTTACAAAAAAAAATTTTAACTTTTTTTAAGGCCTATACCTACATACATTTTCCACGAAAATTCGTTAATTTACGAGTGAATATCCAACTCGTTTTCCTTAAAATTATGTAGGTGTATTCAAAAATACACCTACATAAAGTTGACCCTCTGACAAATAGTAAATAATTGTGTGTAGCATAACATACATATTTTTCTATAATAATCATTATACAATAGATAGCGTTATAATAGTTATTATTTATTAATAATATAATGTTTTATTTTAGAACTACTGGAAATGTTGAAAATGATGGTGTTTCGATGTGTTCCATGGACGCATCAATTATAGTTGATGAAAGTTTTGAAGAAGATTGTCCAGTTCAAAAAGATGATACTGCAGGTCATAAAGATAATCAAACACAGGAGAGAAATAAAAAAGAAACAAGAATAACAAGCTTCCAGTCAAATCTACTTAGTTTGATGAAAAACCCTCCAATTCTACAAAAGCCTGAAGAAAATGACCCTGATAAACAGTTTCTTCTTTCATTTCTACCTGAGTTTAAGAAAATGGATGAAAATCAAAAATTAGATTTTAAAATTGAATTTTCGCAACTAGTTAAACGGATTTTGAATCCCCCTCAGCTTCCAGTGGTGGAACCTCGCGCCCTTCATCAAAATGATTATATGTCTAATTTTCAAAATTCTTTTTACAACCAAAACTCTCTCCCGAACTTTCAAACTGCAGGTCTTCCTCAAATGGCACAAATACATAATTCTTCACTTCTCCCAACTTATCAGTCTCCTTCCAATACATATCATCAACAATTTATTCCGAATAATCAAATTGATATTGATATTCCACAAACATCTAACTCATCATTCAGGGAAAATTCACGTTAATTTAGTATACTAATAATTATTCATATGAATATTTTTATTTTTTAATTTAGGTATAATCTTTTATTTTTTTTTTATTTTTAATTATACTATAAATTATTCGTTTTTTAGTATTACGTTTCTAAAATGTTAAAATGTATAATAATAATTCATACGAATATTTTTAATATTTAATGTAGGTAAAATCTTTAATTTTATCTTCATTTTTAACTATACAATAAACTATTCATTTTTTAACCTTATATAATCATACAATTTTAAAATGTATAGTAATAATTCATACCTTCAATTTTATTATTTTTATTTTTATATTTTATTTTACCTTTACCTTATTGTAAGAGTCAGTCTTTCCTCCGCTGAAACTGGATATCGGAATGTTGTAACTTTTTTCGTAATATGTGGACGCACCTGTTCCAAAAGTTCATCGAATGAAGTTATCGACATTCTATAGTACTCAAAAAATTTGAGTGGGTATTGTCTGATGTCTGCATAAAAATTAATGAAGCGTGCTTTTTCCTCTCTACTTTTATTAAAAGGATGAATCCAAAATTCTCTATCTCTCCTAGGAGGATTTAAATATCCAAACGATTCTGCCACTGCTATAACTTTCAAAGCATTCATGTAATAGTTATAATCCATCCTAAACACACGCAAATATAAAATTTAATATAGTATATTTAATTTTTAAAGATTAATAAGGGTTAGTTAGGGCTAAGTAAATAATTATAGACATTAGAAATATATTTAAAATTAACTATTCATATATTAAAATGATTTTCCACATATTATATATTTTCGATACTAATTAAAGTAATTCAAATACTTACTTGAGAACCTTTTTTAGGAAAATCGATATTAAATTAACGTTTTAAAATTAAGTGTTTAAGTTACTTGTATTTTTTAAATTTTAAAACGAATGTTGAACAGTGATCAGCAAATCACATATTCAGCTATACTAAACACAACACATCTATTCTGATGACCAAAAAATCTGCAAATGATCGCGTTTTACCGCGTAGTGTGATAGTAACCAACCGCGCGTCAAATCTAACGCGGTTCCAAGCGCGCGGCGTGACCGCGATAGTGTGACGCGACCCTTAAACATAGTTATATGAAATATACAATTTTTTTTTTTTTTTTTTTTTTTAAGAAATACAAGATTAACAAGATACTTAATAATTTAAACATAGTTATATTACAAGGTCTAATGATTTAAACATAATTGAGTCTAATGGGTTTTTTAACTGTTCTACCTGACTTTGTTATAACTGTGGTGGGTGTTGGTATTTTACTATTTTTATATGTTTCCTTTTTAAATATTGTAGGTATTGTTTGGTTTTTTGTTTGCTCCTCATTAAACTCTAACTCTTTTCTTTTTCTTATATTTATTACATTTCTTCTAAGAATTGTGCCATTTTCTAGTTGCACTGAATAAGATCTTGGACTTTTAAGTTTTTCCATTACTACTCCTTTCTCCCAAAACTTGTTTTTATAATTTTGTATATAAATTTTATCACCCACATTAAATTGGATTTCTGTTTTAGAAGAGTTTTTATCAAAATAGTTTTTTTGTTTTTGTTTATTTTTTATCATTTGTTCATAAGCATTAATATTCAATTTTGCTGTTACTTCATCAATAAAAGTTGGTAGTTGACTGCGCAATTTTCTGTTCATTAACAATTGTGGGTATCCCGTCATTTCGTCTTGGTAATTTCGTCGCGCGTCAATTCGTCGCGGTCATTTGGTCGCACGACAATTGGACGCATACGACATTTCGTCGCGTGTAATATCGACGCATGCTATATTTGGTCTCGCGTCATTTAATCGCATATATTTATATAGGTATTTAGCTAGTATTAGATAAAATAGATTACCTTGTCTTTTTGGGTAGGAACATTTAATAATATAATATATTTAATAATTCTATAGTATCTTTATAATTTAGTGGTAGTGGTGTAGTACCTACCTTCTTTATTATTTATTTTTATTTCAGTAGGTAATTCATTATTTGGTTTTTACGTGAGTCTTTATCGAATATTCGAATTATTACAGTGTACCTACTCATCAGTCATCACGAGTCTCTACTCTCTGCCGATTATAGTGTTATACAGTACCACCTATACACGTCTACGTATATATACGTCTTGCTTGGTCCATGCAATATAACAATTACTATATATTTTACAAAATATAAAAATTATGCCTTTACAATTTATAAAAAGTCAACGAGGGCATGATCTTTTAATTCATGAGGTGAAAAAATACCAATATACTAGCTGATCCCCTGCACTTCGTTTCCCGTTAAATGTACCAACTCTATATGACTCAAACATTGTTCAATGCGTTATTTAATATTCGGTGTATGATGTTATAGATTTATCTTAACTTTTCTGTTGCCCGGAATAAAAATTCTGTTTCGCAGCAGTATATTATCAGGTAGGCAATCTACCCGTGGTAGATCGTGGACCCCGTGCTGTTTGTACGTAAGTGTATGATTTAACTCAAAAAGTACCAAAGTTATACCAAGTTTAACGTTTTTCCTTAATTCCACCTACCTATAAATCCTAACCTAACCTAACCGTACTAAAATCCGATGAATAAAAAAAACCAAATTTAACCCTATTTAAATTAGCGTATCTTCTTCCCATAGGTCTAATCTACACACAATCATTCATTCATATATAATATATATTGACAAAAATAATAATACAAATCAACAAACATGCCCGATTAACCAATAGCAACCAATATAATATAATACACCATAGAGTAAATAAAGACAACGGTATCGAGTTCAAATCCCAGACATCAATAAATAGTTTTTGCAGTTTTTCTAATTATTCGGTTGACATTTTAAAAATTTTCTTTCGTAAAAACTCGCTCCCCGACATTCTCTATCATTTAAAAAAGATTTGAGCAAAATCGGCCCAGCCGTTCTCAACTGATGCAATTTCGAATTTTTTGTCTCCATTTTTATATATATAGATATAACAATAAGCTAAAATGACTGATATGTAAAATTATCATTATTATTTAGAATATACCTATATGCGATAAAATGACGCACGACCAAATGTAGCATGCGTCGATATTACACGCGACGAAATGTCGTATGCGTCCAATTGTCTTGCGACCAATTGACCGCGACGAATTGACGTGCGACAAAATTACCGCGACGAAATGACGTATATCCACAATTGTGCAGGTGAAAAATCTAAATTAGCTACATTACTATTTCTGTAATTTAAAAGATAAAGATCTATGTCATGACCCTCTTCTTTACACTTTTGTAATATTTTTTTAGCTATGCCCACTCCTTTTTCAGCAAGTCCATTGCTTTGTGGATAGTGAGGGCTTGCTGTATTTACCTCAAATTCCCAATCATTAGCAAATTTCAGAAACTCCCTACTACCAAAAGGCATATTATCAGCTATTATTTCCATAGGAATCCTAAATTTGCTAAATAACGGTTTTAACTTTGAAATTATTGTTGACGTATCCTTATGTCTAATTTCAATTATTTCTAACCACCTAGAATAATAATCAACAACTATTAACTAATTAGAACTTTTATATTCTGCTATATCCAAACCAATTTTTATAAACGGTGCTTTAGGTATCTCATGGTTTATTAATGTTTGTTTAATTTGATTTCTCTTTAACTTTTGACACAAACTACAATCTTCAGCAAAATTACATATATCTGAATTGATACCGGGCCAGTAAAATATTGACTTCGCTAAAAATTTTTGTTTATGTGCACTTAGATGTGTTTCATGTAACAAAGTTAGTATTGTTTTTCTAAGTTTTTTTGGTATAACTATTTTATTAACTAAATACACTAGATTATCTTGTACTGTTATGTCATACCTGAGTTTAAAAAAATGTTTAATTTCACCAGTTATATTTCTATTTATGCTTTTTGGCCACCCATTTTTATAGTATTGAAGTACTAAAGATAACACCTCATCATTTAGGGTTTCCATTTGATATAATTTAAATTTTTTAGCAGAAATTAATAATTCTGGTGCTATTTGTACTGTATGGACCACATCAGTCATTTCATTATCACCTACTGGAGTTTTATGTACTATATTCCTTGATAAGAGATCAGCAATATATAGTTTTGGTCCAGGGACATATTCTAATACAAATGTGTATGGTAAAGTTTTAATCTTTAATCTTCTTAGACGATTATTTTTTATTTTGTCTATTGGTTTTTTCAATAAAGAGACTAAAGGCAAATGATCGTTATTTATTATTATTTTATTCCCATAGACATAATTATGAAATTTTGAAAGTGCATATGTTATTGATAATAGTTCTTTTTAAATTTGAGCATAATTTATTTCTGTAGATGTTGTAATGGGATTACGCAATATCATGTATTTTGCTCATAATAACAACCAGGAATGGGATTACGCAATATCATATATTTGCTCATAATAACAACCAGAAATGCGACCACACCCAAAAGTGTTTTCGACTACGAATACCACTTTCATAGTCGTGAGGTCCATATCAAGGACGACTGTACACGCGCCGCTCACTTCAAAGGACGCCGCCACCATATATATAGGGGACAGCGAGACAGCCTGAGTTAGATGTATCCAGAGACGAGAACACCACAAGACTCGCTTAGCCGCCCAGCCATCACACACGACTTACACGGAGATTATCAACTTCGGAACGAGCTACAATTCGCTACAATCAACACTATTATTCTGCTTGTTTTGTCTGGTTTAATATAATACATTTGATTACCATTCTAATTGACTATTATTATTTATCAAAGTACACCAGCTTTTGGATCCCTGAAGAGCCGCATGTAACACTGGCGCAGTCGAAGGTAGGATTCCACAAAGGGAGGCAACCATCAAAGGCTACTGTCAACAACGAGGAATTGATCACTCTTCAGCGAAGACAACTCCAGGAGGAACCGACAAAAAACAAATAAGTCACATTGCAGTACCAACAAATCCATTAGCAGCATCATCAACGGCAACATGTCATCATCAGCCATGAACGCAGCATTATTGTGAGTGAATAGTTATTTAAATTTGTTACATAGACGTATGCAACATAATTAAGACATATTAAGATAAATCTAGGTAGTTGATTATAAGTGTAATGGTGTAAACCGTTTTAAATTTTATTGAGGGCATATTTTATTGATTATTATTGAAGTTTATTGAATTATTGAGGGCATATTGAAGTTTTATTATTGAGGGCATATTTTTATTGAAGTTATTATTGATTATTATTTATTGAGGGCATTTTTATTATTGAAGTATTATTGAAGTTTATTGAATTTATTAGAGGGCATATTATTGAAGTTATTATTGTGTTTATAGGGCATTATTGAATTTTATTGAGTATTATTATGATTATTAACGTATTAAATAGGTGGTTAAAATTTAAAATTATAGGTAATAGATATGTTCTATTAATTTTCTATTACATTTAATTAGAAATTTGAATAAAAAGAATTCAATAGGTAATTTGTAGTATGCATGTACTATTAATTTTCTATTATATATAATTTAAAATTTAATTAAATAGAATTATATTAAAATTATTTATGTATATAGTCATCATAGTAATTAACTAATTCTTTGGGAGTTAATTAATAGGTGATGCTAATATGCAAATGTATACCTTTTCTTTCGAACATTTCCTCTTGAATCCAGAGTTTTCAGTAGAATGACATATTGTAATTTGTTTTGACTGTTTTGACACACCAGTAGAAGTAGATTTCTTTATTTTGTAAGCCTTTAATTCAGTCATCAAACCCGGATGCACATGCTATGGAAATATTCAAGAGTATTATTTTATTTAAATTTAAATTATTCAGTAAAATCAGTTATAATGGTAGGTACTATAGACTATAGCAGAACCTACACTAGTGTCTAGTACCCATAGATAAATGAATACAAAATGCAGTCTTCTTTAAAAACTATTATACTAAAGTAATTTTAAATACCTAGACTAAATATTACATAATGGCTATAAATTATAGTATAATCTACATATTACTCGATAAGGTTTTTTAATTTAGGTAGGTACCTACTTTTATTTTAGGTATTTTAGTTTATTCAATGTACCTACCTACTTTATTAAATAATATAGTAACTATCAGTTATAAACTTATAACTAGTACCTATAGATATTTTTGAATGTACAAACTAATACTTTTTTTTACAAAATACATAATATAATGTAAATACTTTAAAATAATATATTTGCACTTAGTAGTTAGTACCTAGTTAGTAATATTAGCTATAACTAATCAAATAATACAATTCAAAATATTTTGAAATTAGGTACACTTACTTTATAGTGACTCAATAAGTTCCCGGTAGAACCTGAGTACGCAATTATCTTTTTGTTGCAGTTTAAACAAGTAACTGACATTTTTGATCCAGTGTTTGAAATCTTCTTAAAAAATGTACCATCTAATAGGTAATTTTCTTTTTCATCAATTGTTGCATTCATTTTAGACGATGTATTATCTTGAATATATGGTTCGCGTTCAGACGGTCCAGGATTGTCGGTTTCAAATTCGTTGTCCTCATATTGTCTTTTAAGTGAACGAATAGATGTTACAAATTTATCCATTTCGAAGTAATACGTTATAAAATGATGTCGCAATATTTGTAGTATAAACTTAAAGACATAAATACACAATAAGTATCAAC